AAAAAAAAAAAAAAAAAAAAAAAAAAAAAAAAAAAAAAAAAAAAAAAAAAAAATGAAATAAATAAATAAATAAATAGCGGTCAAGCGCCGAGTGTTTACATATTTGTTCTTAAATCCTTATTTCTAATTATTATTCAATTCGGCGCTCAACACAATTTTCATAGTAATAATAATAATAATAATAATAATGATAATAATGATAAGCTTATACGTAATAAATTGTTATACAATAGTAAATACAAAACTCCCCGAATGTTGACTTATATACGCACGCGTCAGTCAGACTTGTTGATGACCTCGGCAAAGTCGATGTCCTCTTGTCGCATGTCCCTGTCGCCCCATCCCCAAATAGCATTTTCGTGGTGGTGATTCGGCGAAATTTGCGCAATCCGAGAGCCATCCCCGGTGCGCGCCGCTCGCTTCTCGACCATCGTCGTGGGCACGGTCTTGAGATCGTACGCCCAGCCGATTCGGGCGAAGAAATCGATGAACGCCGTGGTAAAGTTGGCGCGGTAGTTACCCAGTTCCGCTGCTTTGTAGTCCCAGGGAAACACGTGGTGGTAGTTGTGCCAACCCTCCCCAAATGCCCCCATGGCCACGCGAATGTTGTCCGTAGCGCTGATCGTACTGATGATGCCGAGAGCAAAACAGTAACAACGTTTAAACATCACGTCGCGTGTTGGTCTCAAAAGTCAAAAAAAAAAAAAAAAAATACATATAAGTACGGTTTACAACTTACTCGTCGAATGGCTTGTTGCCCCAGATGTGAGCAGCGGAATTCACCAGCCACGTGAGATTCAAAGAGAGCGTGTACCTGAAAATCGTCGCGTACCACGAGTACATGCCGTTCTCGTTCCAAAAGTAGCAAGGCACCCAGGCAGGAAGAAGAAAGCAGAACAATGGCATCAGAATAATGTAAAGCCTGCAAATGCCAATGTTCAATTTAATCGATCCGTTTACCCAATGGGTACACCTATACTGTATGTATATATATATATATAAATCATTGTTTTTTTTTTTTTTCAAACATTACCTTCGCTGCCACACGACAACTGGATCTGCGTCCAAGTCGCTCATGTCAACAACGGCGCCCTTATTGATGACGTCCGGATGCTTGCGAATGAGCAGCCAGCCCATGTGCGAAAAGAAAAAGCCCCTTTGGGCGTTATGCGGGTCTGCGTCCGTGTCGGTGAACTTATGGTGCACCCGATGGTCCCTCACCCACTCGTAAAGGTGATTCTGCAAATGGTCAATCATTGTTCAATTTTTCTACCTATACTACACTCCAGTGGTATTTAATTCTCCGATCGGCATATTGCCAATGTGGTCACCTGGAAGGCTATAGTTTGGAAAATCATGAGGATTATCCTCAATGGCCATTTTGCTTTGTAGGAACGATGGGCCCACAGTCTGTGTGCTCCCGCCGTGATGCCCAGCGCCGACGCCATGGCTATTAGTATGGCTGGGAAAAAAAAAAAAAAAAAAAAGAAACATTTCAAGTGTGAAACACACACCTCCGATTTCGGTTAAGTAAGGAAAAAAAAAAAAAAATTTGTTTTGTGCAACTCACTCCATACGAATGTGAGGAATTTCGCTCCCGTGTAGAGTAAGTACATTCCATAGAGGGCCCCAATGTGGAGATAAACGAACGCAAAAACGTTTCTCCAAACGATTTTCCAGCTGTACTTTTGTTCCGGTTTTTCTACGCTCGCGCGGGACGTGGCCGGCTCATTTTGGGATTTTCCTTGGCTGGCTGCTTGCTGCGAGGCCTCCAAAAAAAGTGTCGCCGAGTTACCAAATAAATTTGGCGCCATCTCGCGAAGCTATGAAATCATGAAAAAAGAAATGAAAGTATCGAGGAAGATGTAGGTATCAGCGTTGTTGTAAACACGAGCGCCCAGCCAATTATGTGCACGGTCGAGGTACTTCATTGTATATACGTTGCGCGACGGCAACTTTCTTCGAGAGGCGCTTCGGCGTCGTCGCGGTGAATGGTAAGTACACCATATGCAGGTAGTTGGGCGCTAGTGCAAGTGCGCTGGTGAAAGAGGGGGAGGGAAATTGTAAGATAATCACAAGCCGTGCCGGCGTGGATGCTGACGAGAGAGCCGAACGAACGGGATCAGTCTCGGGAAAAAGAGGTCACAGCCACTTTCGAGGTCAATGTTACCTAGTTGTAAGACGCTCGCGTTGCACGGGCTCACTCTCACGGGAACGGTGAAACGGAATACGCTTCACGCCTTTCGTTACTTTAAGCACCATCATATTTTTACCCATTTCTTTTTTTTTTTTACCATCATCTTCTTGGCTTCCGTGCGGTTGTAAACTGACAACGGTAACATTCAAATCTTTTTGGTGTAATTGCAAATGCTTACGATTCAATGAGACATNCACTTTCGAGGTCAATGTTACCTAGTTGTAAGACGCTCGCGTTGCACGGGCTCACTCTCACGGGAACGGTGAAACGGAATACGCTTCACGCCTTTTGTTACTTGAAGCACCATCATGCTTTAACCCCTTTCTTTTTTTTTTTTTTTTTTTGTTTTTTCCACTTATTGGAATGAAACTTTAACTACTTTTTTCTTTTTTTCAAATCAACACAAACAATTGTTTAAAAATAATGCCTGTGTCAAATGTCATACGTGAAAATTATCATCAGTAATTACTCCGCGAACTCGAAAACTACTGTTTTTGCAATTTTTCAAATTTTCAGCAAAATCAGCGCTGTAATAATAAAAAACAATTTGGTACATCTCGGGTAATTATCCCCAACACCTGTGTAATCTCGCAATAATTGCAGCGTTTGTAATTCGGCGTAAAATTATTTGACATTGTTCTTGTGGTGGCGAGTAAATTCTTGCGAAATGTACTCAGTTATCACCACTTTTGTAAAAAAAAAAAAAGATAATTGACGCGCGTCCACAAATAATTGTCGTAGTCAAATATTTGAAATGAAAAAAAAAAAAATTTTTTTTAACCATACGCGCACTTGTCAATAGATTAAAAAAAAAAAAAACAAATAAATAAATAAATAAAAACAATTAAATTTCTTAATAGAGAGTATGGAGTATAGGAAAAGCAATAAAAGCCGCGGATAATGTTGAAACCATGTTAAAAATGAAAATTTCAACTCACCTAATTAATTAGACTTGAAAACTATACGAGCAATGGGATGGCTCAAATATTGAATACAAACTACGACACACGCGGGGATACGTTATTACCAGTTCTACCGACGCGATCAAACTGATCCGGACTCGCGCTTAGCCCGAGAGAGAATACAAAGATCCACGTGCTTCTGGCCTACTTATGAGCCTTTCTCGACGTTCACTACTCCGAGATTCCCCAATCGTGAAAGAAGAAAAAGAAAAACAACGTGTTCCCTTTCCATCTTCACAGCCACCTCGAGTCCACTTTTTTTTTTCATCTCGACTCCCCGTACACAAAAAGAGAGTGTCTAACAATTTTTAATACGAGAGGAATCGGCCACAAGTTCTGCCAAGTGACGAATCGAGTACGTATACGATGATTTTACTTACACCTCTCGTTGCAACAGCGATTAATTATCAAGTTCGAAGTTCCCCCACGATTTCCTGACTAATTTTCGCTTTAAAAACGCTAGTCGATTTTACCGGATGGGGCTTGTGAAATGCTTGAATCGATTTAAATAATCTTGTACGCGTCAATTGCGCTCTACGTGAAAACGGTGACCTACTAAAATACTTTAATTACGGTACAATAGTAAAATATTCGCAAAACCATACCCAACGATTGATAGTGTAATGTTAGCCTTGATATTTGGAATATTAATAATAGGAGATAAACGAAGGAACACAGAGTTCTACTTTCCGCTTCTGTAGCCGATTAAGGTTATCAAACGGTACATGCCAGTGATCTTAAAAACTTGGACTTTCTCTTGCTGGTGTAGCAAGTGATTTCATCTCACCTCTTAAACATAATAGATACGCGTACGCGTAAACTACTTCAAACTTTTTTCCCGTTCACTGTAAACCGAACAAAAAAATACGACACTTTTTTATTTTTCGCTTACATCAATAAGAAAACATAAAATTATATTTTTTTCAATGATGACAAGTCATCTTTTTCTAGTCTTTCTTTACTAGTATTTTCATTTTTTATCCATCAAGACATTGCGTGCGAAGATATACATCAATTTGACGCTGGCAACAGTTTAATCGCGACAGGAAATATAAAATTTGTTATACACTACACCTTATTTCGGCTACGAGAAAAAGCTATTCGAGTACGGGTAAAATCTCGCCGTACTGGTAGCATAGAAACTTTTAGAATATTTCATATGGTGAGCAGCTTTCATCAGCTTTCTATCTTATGACTTCCAACTGAATACTGCACAAGATAACTTTTACTTTCATTTTGAGATTTAAAACCAAAACAAATTTATTAATTTTATGTATGACTGGAATATGTTTAATGCAAACCTCAATTTTTAGTGCTAAAGCTTTAAACAGCGCGTAGCGATCAGTAAGTTTCTGGATTAAATATATGTAAATTACTGCAGTATAAAAGATGGAGAGGAGCCTAAGTTAGCTCAATAAAAATTTTTTTACTAAAAGGAGTTCGTGGGTTATCGTCCTTTTTGCAATATATTCATTATTTATGGAGACGTAAACATTTTCAGTTTAAAATGTAACTCTGGCTAAAAATATCACGCATTTATTTTTGCGAATATTGTATTGTATTGTTAATGTTGATAAACATTGATTGAATAATTTTCTTTTAGTTTTGTTGTAATTTTAACATCAATAGACTTTTAAATTGAAATATAAATTTAGCTTATGCTTGAATCAATTTACTTGACAATAAAAAGTTAAAAAAAATTAAATTAAGAAGATTTGACGATTTGTGCTTAAATTTTAATATGATAACTATAAACGGTACTTAAAGAGATCTATGAAATTAAATTCGAGTCGCTCATACTTGTACAAACTAATTTTTGTAAAAAAACATAGAAAAAGTAAAGTTTGATCATTTTTTTTCGCCTTGCGATTTTAAAATTAGAATCGTAACAAGATTTGCGTGGATTTGTATTGTGGCTCATAGCATGCATGAGCTACTTTGCCTTAGAGACGGGGTAAATAGGGAGCGCTTTACGTTTAAGTTCAAATTTGTCTTTGGAGCCCGGTGTTACGAGCAGATTGCATTATTGCCATCACAGAGTTGTGACATATTTTTTTCGTAAATTTGTAAAGCCACTTTTATTTTTTTTAAATTTGAATAATAGTAATACTCAAAATATAATTAGTATCGTGAAAATATAATACGAAGGACAATCACAGATTCTTTTCTAGTAATATATTATTACAGTGTACTAGTAATACACAAGTGTTCGGCGATGAGCATTACAGTATTACGCTAAGCCTACGGTTCTCGCAAATTCTCTCGGAATCTTCTAGTTCAAGGTGCGGTACGTTCGCTCAAATTTCTGTCCATACGGATAGGTGGTCATAAAAAAAAGCAGGAAGCTATATAATGAGAAATAGTCTCTGTGCGGATGGATGGAGGTGGATAAAGAAGAGGGGAACCAGAAGGATCGGTTTTAAGTTATGCGTGGCGAGTCGACCACCGTTACATTTGAAACTCACATTTGTAAACTGATCTACTATGAGCCGGTATATTTTATTTTAATTGATTCACTTGGCGATTTCCAACCGATGATCGGTATGGATTTAAAAAAAAAAAAAATAAAAAAAAAACCAAGCGAAGAAGGTTTGACTTTAATGAGGATACCACTTGAGGACACTATACTTACATTGCGGCTTGTGTGAATTATTGTGTATGTAAATGTGGCTTCCACTTAGTTTTTCGAAATTGCGCAAGGAATACGAAAACTTAATCTTTATTCCAGCTCATTTTGTCCTCCTTCCAACATGGAAAATTGGCGTAGTAGGTACTGATGTGGTGAAGTAAGAAAAACAAGTATCAACTGTTGTATATGTTTTATTGTTCTCGCTGTCTCAAAGCAGTTAAGATATGATGTCTTGAAACATCTAATCGCATGATCGAGCTACCTCACCAGTTGGTAAAGTTTTGTCGCGTGATTAACACTACTGATTATTATTATTATTATTATTATTATTATTATTATAAAATTAACAACGATAGAAAAAAAGCTAGAGATGATTGCATTCGTTACGAGATTTTGGTCTAGGCTAAAGGCACCTTTGAAATGCAGATTTACAGAAGTGCGTGAAAGAGCCAAGTTCTAGATTTTGTACTTTGATCCCAATTTTTTAAAAATGTACATAACAAAAAATTAGTTCAATTTTTCCGCCGAAATTTGACTACGTTTGTGTAAGCGCTTCGAATTGCCAGGTTCGTCATGCGTTGTTGATAACTCTTTGGTAACGACTGATTTTCTCAAACTTATTTCGATTGTATGCTCTTGTTACGTATCGCATAATAATTATAACAGTGAACTTAGGAACTTTTTGTCATTATTATGGTACAAAACTAATTTTTACAAACTGGTGTAAATGATATTTCACGTCGACGCGTTAACACAATTGAAATTAAACTTAATAAAATGATGGTCGCCCATCGACAACTCGAACTTAGTGGTGTCAATCCCAAAACACTCAGGCACTTGGCTTTACTATTACTTAAACTATGTAATGCCTTATGCAACATTACTGACACTATTTCGTGATGTTCCTGTAGCACTTGGTAAGATAACAAAAATAAACTCCTCCCTAAGTTTAAACGAACTGTGCACAAAAAAATTTTTCTTATCATTAAAAATTTTCTACAGATGTCTTAGACTTTTACACTTTGAAGCAAAAATATTCAAAAATAAAATTGATTGGTATGGTAGTACGTTACATGCTTTTTTGTTCATTTAACTCTTTAACATGCATACTAAGCAAGATCATCATCGAAAACAATCGTATAAAAAAATAGATTATTTTTCAAACATAATGTAAGATGATTTTATATATAACTATTTTTTCACCTCATTACAGTCACAAAAATATTTTAAGTGAACAATAATGTGTCTTTAATTTATAGCAATTGCGATTCCTTAGTATTTTAATACTGTAAGTGTACACTGCGTTGGCAAATCGATAACCATATTTACTATTATAAAATTTGAGGTAAATATTTATTCAAGTTTGTTGTCGGATAATTGAAACTTATTTATTTCCGATGGATCGTTTATAAGTTCATAAGAACCAGAATTTGAAATGTTTGGAAGAAGCTAAACTGAGTACAAGATTTTGAAAACTATGCTAATCCCCATGACTGTAAATTCAAGTTATTTTGAAAAATAGAGGAAGATATTAACGTGCTTTTATGGAAAATATGCTTAAATATGACTACTCTTTCATCGCAAATGTTTAATACTTATGGTGTGCATTTTATAATTATTTCATGCTAACGTTTCTTTATATTTATAATTAGAATTATTCAAAAAAATTTTCAGTGTACCTTTGCAGTGTTAAAGTGTGTATTTTGTACTACGAGCATAAATTATTAATTTTTCAATCATCTAGATGATAATATTAAAATTACGATAAAATAGAAGTTGTGTAATTTCACTACTGATGGAATATTTTGATTTAATTGTATTCTATCCGATGGTTATTAACTTGTCGAAATTTATAAAAAATCTGTTGGCTACGGCACTTTATTATAAATATTATTTCAATTTTATTTAAATTTACTAATAATTAATTTCAAATATTTGGACTTAAAAATAAAACTAGTATTTTTAACGCGATGAAACGTATTGTAATAAATAATTGAACAGCAATTTGTATGTATATTTTGATTATTTTTGTTTTGCCTTAGTGTCAATTTTATTATA